GTTCTCAAGGACGCCGCGAAACGATCAACGAGCAAAAATACGCAAACACCACGCGCCGGTGTCCCAACAACCATCGTGCTTGGTCCCTCTTACATACTCGTGCTGCGCCGCTGTTGCCCATCAGCCATCGTATCACGCTTAAATGGATCGTTTGTTTTGGAAAATATTGCAAACCTCGCCGGTCGGCCTCGAGTGGAAACTTTAAACCGAGAGCTTGGTAAAACGTTAGCCCGTACTACGTTTTCCAGAGATCGCTTTAACGAGCAACGCGTGCATAATTGTTCTTCGAGGTTACCGCTTAATTTGAAACCGTGATGGAGGAACACGTATGCGCACACGTCCATAAGTACACGTACAGAGGTTTTGATCGTGTAGTTTGTAATTTGCAATCGGTCTAGTTAACCGGCACCAGAATGTCGACAATTTGGTGGCAACCTGTTGAACCCGGAGCAACCGGGGATAACGGCGCTTATCGTCGATTAAACTTACATACTTCGAACGATCAGTTCCAGTTAATCGTAATGATTGGCCGACCGGCCAATTTCAATCGGTCTCCGCTAACAAGCGCTCTTCGTAGCTTTCTAGCTACGGTACCACTACGAGAGAGGTGCTCCCTCCACTTTTCTCTCTTCGCGCGTTTGCTCGGCTAATCGACGGTTTTGGGAGATTTTTAGAAACAGATCTCCACAGAAAAGATTTAGGTATCGAGGAAAATTAGACATTTATGGTGAATAATGCGAGAGGAAATTGGTAACGTGTGGAGAAATCAGTACAACTTGGATGGATCGGTGCAATTTGAACAGATCTCCGCAGAAAAGATTTAGGTATCTAGGAAAATCGGATATAATTTATTGCGATTAATGCGACAGAAAATTGGTAGATACTACAACTCGGATGAATCTCCCGAAGAAAGATCTAAGAACGCAGGAAAATGAAATATTATTTATTGAGAGTAATACGACAGAAAATTGGCAATTTATCGAGTCTCGTCCAGTTGACGAAATAATTCGAAGATGATCCCTGACCGAGTAATGTGTTCGGAATAACGCAAGAAAAATTGATCCGAGGCCGAAAGGGGCGCGGCGGCGATCTATAATTCTCCTCTGGCAAAACGTTCGCGTAATACGAGCCTCTTATCCGTCGCAAAGACGTTCGTTACGCCCGTAAGAATCCCTTTGAGAGGCTCCCGGGACAATGAGATTAAGATCGTTCATCGTGGAAAGAATCTTGAAACGCGGCTCCATTATTCAGCCCGTTGCGCGATGCCGACCGAGAGAAGAGCCATGTGTATCCATCCTCTTCCCCCTCTGGTCCCTCGAGTATTTTCGCGTTTCCTTCACTCCGCACACACGCACACACACACACACGTGTGCATATATACCGAAGTTCATGCGCGCAACCGCGATTAACGTGCCGGAGTTAATGTCAGCCATCAAGGAAGTATTACTCCGTTTCAGCGGGTTAACGACTTTCTGAAAGCCGCTCGAATTTCGAATTCACCGATGCTAAAACTAATCGTGATTCACTGAAACCATAGGTTCTGTAATTCCGAACGCGTTATTAGAACTGACCACGCACCTTTCAAAAATTTGTGTTTGCACGGTGATTTACTTCGCGATACACAGCTTCGCTATTTCTTTTAACGCGAATTAGATTTTTTCTCCAGATGTTATCTTACAATCGATACAGATGGTGAAAATTCATCTCTGGTATCGCAATATCGACGGCGCCACGAAGATCCGTCTTTCAATTAATTACGGTTTCGCGACCGGTCTAATTACAATCTCAATCGCGGAAGTACCGATAGTAATTATTGAACAAACAATTTGTATCCGGCGTTGTTCAGCTGGTGTAGCTTCTCTCTCTCCCCTATCTGCCTGTCGTAATTAACGCGGCTGGATTATAACGCAAGGACCAGCCGTTTGATTATCATCGGCTGAGGCAATTTCGTTCGCCACCCTTTGATTGATTAATCCGACCGAGCCGAAGGAGCTTCTAATAAAATTAATTATGTCGCGGCTCGCGCCAGATTACATAACGTCTCGAATTCCCCACGCATGCTACGATGAATAATGACTTGGTGTGCATAATGAGGACCCCACGTCAAAACCTTTTGACGCGTTATTCGAAGCCAGCCGAATGAATCGTTGCATGTATCCAACTAAAAGAAGAAGAAAAAAGAAGGAAGGAAGTAAGGAACGGTTCGATGTGTGTGATACAGACGTGAGAGAGAATTGTTTCGATTTTTTTCTCAGGTGTATCATATGCTACGGGAGAAGACTCAATTCTCTCTTGGTCGGGACAATCGTATCAGGGGGACTTGGGGCCCGTGGAGCTCCTGGAGCGAGTGTTCGAGGACCTGCGGCACGGGGATTCAGTCTCAATCAAGAGAATGCGTACCGCATCAGTAAGTAAAATGTATTGTTAAATGGACCGTGTAGGATAGAATTTCTTTTTATGCAACCGAGTTCGTGGTACTCATTTTTTTAAATAAATTAATCCGATCTTCCCGGTAAAAGATTTTACTATCCGACCAGATCGTTGTTATTTTGCATATTTTCTATCCGTGTTTGCTTCAAATTTAGAATTTTGTTATCAGAAAGCTACTAAAATTGCACAACAATTGTGGCTTAAGGTACCATACGAATCAATAATTCCCTCTAAAATTTCCCCTGCAAAACCTTGTAGAGTTTCGTCTCAATGCTCCAACTATTTTCAACCAGCTCCCAGTCATAAGTTTATCACGATTAAAAAGAGAATCGACAGAACGTAAAATCGCGAATTTAGCGGCCAACCTATAATCATCTTAAAACACGAATTCGCTGAACGCAACCTCGGTTCCTTCTATAATCACCAACTTCCCTAATACCGTTAACGTTCTACGCGCGGGAAGATCGTGAGCAAAAGATTCACGATTTCGCGAAACGTCGGAAAGAACCATCTACCTATCACCCGTTAAGGCCAGCGAAAAGTGAGAAAATTCGTGGACAAATTCACGGTTGCAGCTTCCTTCCGCGAGAACTCTGGCCTGTGGGATCCATGGATCCCTGTCGAGTGAGTGATCGCGAGGCTTGGACACGTTCGTACCACCTGCCGTATACGAGCGAGTGTCGGGCAAATTGCGGATCGGTAGCAGAAGAAGATTACACGCTGGCACGCCGACCAGTCGGCCCCGAAACGTGTTATCGTCGCTGACATTTACACCTTTGTAACGCTACCTGCGCGATTACGTGACTTCGCGGCGGAATTTATCGGCGGGACCGCGGGTATCTTGCCCGGCGATAAAATAGTTTAAGACCCGCGGTACCGTTATGAATTTTTGTATGCACACCTTCCAGACAGGTGATAAACCGTGCAATTTCTGCCTCTAGCGCTTTCTTAACTAATAATCGCATATTTCACTCGTTATCTGAATTGTTCGACGGTAGGACGGCGGAAAGGTCGGACAGAGAGGCGAGAAGTGGAGCTGGGTCATTTGTGACCCGGGTCAAACTGTTCGCGTTGGAGAACGAACTCTGTGAGATCTTAATTTTTATCGCGCAAACGTGAGTCAATTTTGCCCGGGCTAGGTCCGAAGACATTGACTATTGGGAAAGTGACAATGCAGCCATTGAGAAGCCAACGTGACAAACTCCATAAAGTAATATTTATTAAATTTGTGTTATTTGTGGAGTGTTATCTTCTGAGTGGTTCAATTAACAATCTTTCATTCCACTTAAAAAATGTCTCAGGTAGTGGGATATTATTATTTATTCACGTTCACACTTCAAAAGTACCAGGAACACGTTTAAGAACGGGTCAAAAGTGACCCACCTACTTCAGCCAATTATCAATAACAATTAAAAACGTTCGGAGTCGCGTGTAGTAGTCTGCAAATAACGCACGTGTAAAATAAAAGACAAATTCGTTGGTAAAAGTTGGACGATAAGCGTGGAATAGTAGACAGAGAGGAGAGCTAGTAGTAATAGTCGTCGGTGTTTCTGTCGGGCTGACCATTACAGGGATAAACTACTTGATACGCGGTTAACGAGCGCGAAAATCGCGGACGGAAGGGTGGAGGATGTATCGACGTCCGATAGGCAGGAATAATGCGACCGATTTGTTCCAGGAGACTGTTAAGGAAGCGGAGCATTATCTCGGAGAACAGCACAAGCAGCTCGCGGCCCATTTGCATCGGCACGTACAAGCGATACCACACGTGCAACACGCAGGTAAATCAACGCGACACGTACCGCGAATCGATGTTTACGCCTTTGCGTCCTGTCTGCCCGCGTGATAAATTAACATTTGTATTTCAATGAATCGTGCGTGGTAGATTTTTCTCACCGCTATTAAAGACACTTGGTGAGACAGCTGGAAATGCTACGCGTAGATTCACGCCTTAAACACTTTGATTGTTCGACTAATTTTAACCGCGAGCCTCGCGAAACCTGATTTTATGTAACAGTGCGGAGGTCTGCTCGCACTTTCGTCAAACAAAAAATGATATTTCTTCACTCAATTTTCGGGTAAAATGTGTGCAGAGGAAGATTAACCCTTTCGTTGCTCTTGGCGCCTGTAGACGTTTGAAAATTTGCTTGCACCGTGTTTCTGGCGCCTTTTAACGTATTTCTATCCTAATTTAATCCTTTGCACACTTCCATGTTAATTTAATAAGAGAAATTTTAAAACTATGCGGCCAAAAGATCTATCGTCTGCATTGCGCTCTAAATTCTGCCGCAGCGAAAGGGTTAAAGTATCGAAGATTCAACCGTATCGATATTTCTCAATAGCCGAACATTTGAATTTCCTTTCAAATTTCCGATAAAATTTGTAATTCTCCCGTGTCACGGAACGTGTTAAGAAATATAAACTGCGAGGCAATTACGTTTGTGAGTGGCAGTCAAAGTGTTAACACCGTGCATATATAATGACGGTAAAGAGCACCTGTTTCCCTCACTGTCGCCACTCGAATTTCGCGGCAGACGCGGACAGATCGTTAGGAGGATCGTTCGAGCGAGCATTTACGTGAGTAGATGCATCTATCATGGGGTCGTAGGTAGGCGCATATCGACGAGATCGCCGAAGGGTTTCTTTTTCGACGGTACGTCACGAGTCGCGAACAAATCATCGCAGCGGCCAATTAAGGATCCGCACGACGGCAATTTATACAGCCTCGGTTCTCGGTGTTGTTTAAAATTCATAAGAATAATCACCACCTGCGGAGTTAAAGATTCGCCGGTAATAGACGGCTTTGCGCTCTTGTCCAAGCTCCTAGCCAACGGTAATTAGGCCTTCGTAGATGTAAAGACACACTTGAAACCGATACCACTTCCGGTTTCACTTCCAAAGCAGTCTCGTAACGTTCAATAATTGCTGGTAATTGAACCGTTATTTTTTATCACGTCTAAAAGTAGAATTTCTCATACATCAGCGCTGGTGTATGCGAATCGGTTTAAATTGAAAAAAGACAAAAAATAAAAAACACTCCGGTTGCTGTTATTTATTTTTGTCAACGAGTGTAATACTTAATTGCAGCGAGGATCTTGTTTCCATGCAGGGAAGCATTTACGCGGCTTGTTGTTCCCGAATGAACGCTTGCCGGTTAATTTCAGCGCGCAAACGTGGCGTTGCAATTAAAAAATTTGCATGTTAACCATTCTTTTCCTTTTTTCCGCCGGTTCGTGGCGCCACGCGGCTAGATTTGCCTCGGAAACGCTGGTTTACAAACACGCGAGACTATTCACGGTTTTACTGGCCGGTAATTAATCTTCCACCCGGAAATTACCAGGGTAACGCTTCTCTCTCTCTCTCTCTTTTCCTCTTCGTACGCGTTGGTATTCCCGTTTCACCGTGCACGGCCTTGTGTACTCGCGCGGTTCCTCTTTCAAGCCCGCCCGAAATTCATTACGAAAGCGTGTAATTCACGGAGAAATTAAAAGAAACTTCTCTCCCCCTCTCTCCGGAATCTCTCGCGAGAGTACCGTGAAAATTTTCATAAATTTCAAGTGCTCGTTTATTAGAACGCCGAGTAAGTACAAGAGTAGCTCGGAACAAGCGCGTCTTAATCGACTTCGCGAAGGTCTCTCGAAGTGGGAACCGAGTTCGTAGCGCGTAACAGCTTTCCCAGCGATCGATCCTTAATTACCCGGAGTTTAATTAAGCCGTTGCTCGTAACAGAAATGTCCGAACTTCCCGGAGGATTTGCGGGCCGAACAATGTGCCAAGTACAACGGAAGAAACTACAAGGGCGAGAGCTACGATTGGGTCCCGTTTCTGGATGGTAAGCTAAAGCCACTCTCAGCCTTCGTCTCGCCATTTTGTCGGTGGCTCGCCGTTTAAGCGCCCGTTGTAATTGCCTCGGCACGCTTCGAAAGTGTGTTCACTTCGAATCACCTTCGAACTTTGTTCTATATTTCACATTCTAATGGGTGATTCAAATAGACCGGTCTTTCGAAACTTTCGGCATAGGTGAGGAGAAGTGATGTATTGTGCAGAGATGTGAAGTTGGCTAGCAGAAGGAATTTAGGCATAGACACACCTTCTCTTACACAATATGTTTCTGTCATTGGCCTAAATGGTCACAGCTACAAGTCGGAAAAACAGAGAGATCCAATAAATTTCGAACGTATCACCTGCAGACACGAAAATCCTACTATATCAGAGTTTGCCATCAAGAATCTAAATGTGATGAATTCAGGAGAGAAACGAGATCAGACAAAGTACCAATCTAGTCTCTCTACCGTCCTATTAGCCATCTTCTCGTCCCTGCACAGCACCTAATTACATTCCTCTTACTGCTCCTCTTATCGTCCACTTTACAAGAATCACCCTGTACACTTGTCCATCTAATTTCCTGTACCACGTTCTCTTTGACAATTTCCTCCAAATTCGTTCGCGAATAAAACACCCTTTTTTCCCCTGCTTTAATCAAATCGCTCCCCTCTAAAATAACGGGGCTTCTGTGTTCCTTAACCGCAATTACTGTGTGTGTTGGCCAGTGCCGAACTCTTGCGCGCTCAATTGCCGTGCCGTCGGCGAGCGTTTTTACGCAACGCTTGAACCGGCAGTAATGGATGGCACACCCTGCGACGCGCCGAATCTTCGTGGACATAACACCGGAATTTCTATGGAACGCACAGACCAGTGGCTCTGTGTCGCCGGACAATGCAAGGTACGATGAACAAGCGAAAAGTATCGCCTGGCGGAAATTGATCGCGATACCATCGATCACAAATTGGCCCCTCGCGAATGCTCCTCTATTTTTTAACCTCCGTTTCGATGTTTATAATTGCAAACCCACGCGATTCGATCGGCAACGCGACTCTAGTTAACCGTGTCCCTTTTGTTCTCTTTTCTTTTCCTTTTTTATTCGACCATTGTTTCACGCGCGTGTGTTTATCGTTTCTCCACCGTTGTTCGTTCGTATATCGTTTCACGCTGCTTTTCGTATCGCATTCAACCCATTGATCTCCATTGTCGCGGTAATCGTGGAAATTTTACACGACTCTTGCTATACCTTTTTTCCCCTCCTTCTCTGTTTCTTTTCAGCCGGTAGGCTGCGACGGTGTGGTAGGTTCTGGCGTCACGATGGACGCTTGTGGTGTCTGCGGTGGTCAGGGTAAAGGTTGTCGACTGTACGAGGGGATTTTTATGGAACCAATCCTGCCAAGGGGTCATCAACCTGTGACCACTGTACCGAAAGGAGCCATGTCTCTCAACATCTCCGAACTACGTTTCAGTAGTAACTTCTTAGGTATCTCGTGGAAAAATGATCAGTTAGAAGGAAAATTCTGCAAACTGGTTCTTCTCTTTCCTCTATTTTTCCCCTCCTCGGTTTTCTAACGAACAAATCTTGATCCGTCAGCGTTGAGAGACAGCAACGGTAGTTACATCCTGAATGGACCACTGGCGTACAGTTCAAGCGGCACTTATAAAGCGGCTGGCACGACATTAACATACCAGAGGGGTGACAGAAACCGCATGGAGTGTATCTTGGCGACTGGGCCACTGAACGATTCTTTGCATTTAGAGGTACGCCCATAAAGACGCCTCTGATATCCTCCTCGCTTCTACCGATTTATTCGATCGAATCTTTTTTAAGAGGATCCATTTCTTAACCTGGCATTGTGCTCTAACCAACCGGGTCATATAAATCGGTGTTAAGGTACATATATATATATATACTGTAGCAGTTTTTTCTCTCTTTTAAATCGCTTCTTCAGATTCTGGCGCAGGAAATGAACCCAGGAGTGCTTTACAAATACATGATGCCGTTAAAGGAAGTGGCCGGTGGAAGGCCGTTGATAGCACCGCCGCTTTTCGTGACAGGTAACACTTTAACAACCTCCGCGCCACTTAATCGAGGGCATTTTTCAAACCTTCGACAGATTGTCTTGGTGTATTTTTCGCGTCCCTTTACGTAACGATCCTTTCTTAACGCCTCGTGATTCATATGCAAAGTGGAAGTGGAACAAAAGAGAATTTGACGCTTTCTCTTCTCTTCGCAGGATCCATTGATCGTGGCAACGAGATACCCGATTCGGATGCCAGAGTCGCTTTGACCATTCCCACGACCAGAATGTAAATATATACGAATCGTGTATGCTAGTATTTCTTCGAATAATCGAGATTAATCGTTCGGAAAGTTGGGTACACAATGATTAGCGCGTCGAAGAAGAATAAGATCAGCCTTCGAACAGAGTTTTGCTCTTTCAGATCGAATCAGAGGACCGATTTATCATTGACGACCCACAATCAAGATCGTACCGGGACCCGTGACAGAGGACGGAAGGAAGAGATGAAGCACTCGCCGAACAGGGTGATGGCCGGCGACCAGCCAAAGTCGAAGGGCAAAAAGAAGAAACGTCTACGATTCTCGTGGAAGGTTGGATTGACTCCTTGCTCCAAGGAATGCGGAGGAGGTAACGATATCTCGTCTTTTTTACACCGTTTCTTTTCGACACGAATTTCAAGCAATTTCGCCCGTTTTTCAAGCCTTTCAAACGCTTCCCACACGATTGCAATCTATGTGAACGTCTCGACGGACCCCGTTTTTCGGACACGGTAATTAAACGGGCAATTAGGAAAAAAAACAGCGTGTAGACAATTAAAGCTCAGGCGTCCCGTAATCGAGAGGCGCGTGGGAAGTGAGCGAAGCAACCCGTTCGTTTCGGTATTATCGTCGTAGTGATTACAACGCTCGATTTGGCTCTCTGTTCGTTCATCGCGGAAGTTCCCTCCAATTCACCAAATTTATTAGCAGGAAGCCCCACATCCGCGTTATTATTTTTCTAGCTGTCTGCCCGACGTATTCTCCTCCACTTTGACGTGTGTATATCGTGCCCCCTTCGCGAACACCACCGTCGTGATTTTTTTCATTTAGACTGACAGCTCATACGGGCGGCGCCGAGATAACGTCTCGCAGCCGTCACGGGTCCTTTCTTAATTTCCGTGCCTGACAACCACGATAATTGGCCGCGAGTACCGTGTAACCGTTTCGAGTTTATCTCCAGCACCAGCGGATTCTCCTATTTAATTACGCTATCGGCAAAGCGGGAGTACGTCTCTTCGGAAGAATCCGATGCACGTAAAATAGCTTCTCGTTTCCGGTTCTAGGGATTAAGACGGCGATCTTCAAGTGCGTCCGCGAGGTGAACCAGATGATCGTGAACGACAAACGATGTCGCAACGTGGGAAAGCCTCAGCAACTTCCTCCGTTACGCTGCAACGACAATCCTTGCCCGCCTAGGTAATTCGTCTTCTTTCAAATTCAACGAGAGAACGCAGCTGTACAGGAACTTTTGGACGATTGAAATGCAATTTTAGGTGGAGGGCCGAAGCGTGGGACGAGTGTTCGGTGTCCTGCGGCACCGGGACCAGAACACGGAAATTAGAGTGCGTACAGGAGTTGAATGCGAACCTGACAATGCGCGTTGCAGCTGGTGCGTGCATCCAACCGCCTGATTTGAAAACCGTGGAGGCTTGTACGAAACCAGCCTGCACGAACAGCCCGGAATTAAGGCATATGCACTCGCAACACGACACACCCAGATGGGACGTCGGCCCTTGGGGCTCTGTAAGTGTAACCCATTTTCTCTCTCTCTTTTTTTTTTTTAACGCAGATAGGCATAGAGTACCCTCGAGGCTTTTTTCCTTTAAATTAATAGACCGAAGTGTGATATTTCTGATTGAATGACACTCCGTGTTTGCGGATGTTGCACGTTTTTCTCGTTACAGTGCTCCACGACGTGTGGAAAGGGAGTTCGAAATCGAACAGTCACTTGCATCACACCGGGGAAGGCCTGTTCGGTGTACAACAAGCCCGAAGCTCAGAAGATATGCGAGTCCGCTCCTTGCGAGCGTAATAGCGCGGAGCAAAGAGCGCCTTGGCTCTACTCGGAATGGTCGTCCAAGGTGAGATTAATTAGAGGAGAGTTAGAGAAGGAAGAAGAGTGAATTCGTTGAGAATATTGTTTTTCTCTTTTGTGTTTCGTTCAGTGTTCGGCGGAATGTGGTGCAGGAATGGAGACTAGGCAAGTGGCTTGCGCCGATGGTAGCGAGCTATTTTGTAATCCCAAAGAGAGACCGGAAACGGAGAGGCTGTGCTTCGGAAGGGAGAAGAGCTGCGATAGCGCGAAATGGTTCACCGGTCCTTGGTCATTCGTTAGTAACTGATAATCGTGGCTGCTGGTCGAATTTTTTGACACATTGCTGACTGGAGAAATTGAGGTCGAATGTACGCTAGTGGGCAAAAGTTTCGAATCACAAACTTAAGAACTTTTTAACGAATTTCTTATCTTATTGATCTCCACAACATCAATTCTAAGTCAATATTTGTGTGAGTGGATAATTGGTAAACTGATCAACTTTTACCCGATAATGCAAAGTTCCCAGAAAAATTTTAGTAGATTCAATATCGGTGCAAGTCGATAATTGGTAAATTGATAACTTAATAAACTTTTAGCCGATAGTGCAAGTGTTCATCTTCGCAGCATCAACTTTGGGTCCGTGAAAAATTTGAATAGATTCAATATCGGTGCAAGTCGATAACTTGATAAACTTTTAGCCGACAATGCAAGTGTACCAGATTCCCAGAAAAATTCTCGACATTCTAGAAAATAAACATTTCTCGGAGTAATGCTCGATCAGTTAGCAATGCGTTAACCATAAAACGACGCCGCAAAGAGCCCCTCCTCTTATCGGCTCGGTTGAACAAGCTGGACAAATATGGTTGCAGTGTTCCGTGTCGTGCGGATTGGGTGTCCAGTATCGAGAAGTCCTTTGCGTGGCAAGGACGGGGAACGAATTCGTCGTGTTGCCTGGGAGCAACTGCAACGACTCGAGGCCAGCGAACGAGCAAGTGTGCAGAACGAGCGTATGCACACCGACATGGTTCACCTCGGACTGGTCGAAGGTAAATCGCCGTACGAGTAGATTTACGATCAGCGTGACTTTTCGACTCCTCGCGGTATAAATACCGATATAAATATCGATGTAAATACCGGCGCCGGTTTTTTCAGTGCTCGGTAACGTGCGGCACCGGTGTGCAAACCAGACTGGTTCGTTGCATCCTCGAGGGTGTCGGCACGTCGAGCTGCGAGGAAGCTGCGAGACCGAGCGATCAGCAGCAGTGCAGTCTGGAGACGTGTAAAAAGGACACACCTCCGCCGAGCAAACCACCCAAGAGTGAGTTGGGATTTATTTCCTGTTAACCCTTTGACTGGACAGACCCCTCGAGAGTTTGGAAAAGTTTAGCTACGCACAGGGTGTTTCAGATTTTACCGAGCAAACTTTGTCGGTATATTCTACGAGTGTGGATGAGGAAAGAATTTTGTATGAACATAGGAATCTTGCCTTCAGATATCACACAACGATAAATTATAAACGACGAGAAACCATTTTTTTATGCACTAATATTATCCCGGAACTTAGTATTTTACAACTAATATCACGCTGAAATATTGAAATAAAGGCGAACTACACGGTACTGCTCGACAGTGGCCAAACCCTTTAACCTATAACAACGAGTCACACTCGTCGCAGAGATTCTAGTGAAGATGTGAGAAAAATAGTTCAAACAGTAAGAAAAAATCCTATCTTTCGTTTGAATTCGCAACACTGAGGATTACTACCTATAATTAATCTCGAACAGATTACCTTCTCTTACCTGATACAGTACTAAAACAGTACACAACGCTCAGATGCATAATCAGAAAAAAAATCATAGATTAAGGGATTAAAGAACTTGCGGTTACTATGATGCAAGACAAGAATGGCGCTAGCATACCTCGGAACAACTTTAGATACTAAACTCAGCTCGCATAAACACTCTAAACGTAAATATCGCTGATCTATTTCTACTTCGCATCATAGCAACCGCGAGTCCGTTTCTATTCCCCTCCTATTTTTGCCATAACTTTCTAACGAAGCTTCAAACGACCCATGTGCATACGACATTTCCTTCTTATCTACACCCCCAGAATGCACCAACAAAGTTTCATCCAAAAAAATTCGGACACCCGGTATGTATGCTTTTATGAACCGCGCGGCTAGCAGTCAAAGGGTTAAAATCAACGTAACGACGTACGAATAAATCTAGGAATCGTTGAATATTTTCAGAAGCTTACGAGGCGTCGTCGGAGTGCGTGGACAAGCACCCGAACTGCGCGTTGGTCGTGAAGAACGGTTTGTGCCGGATAAAGTACTACAAGTACTCGTGCTGCCGTTGCCGCGAGTAGTTCGGATCGGTCGCGAGAACGAGCCCACCCGTTAATCGCAGGCAGGTTCGTCCCACCTCACGGTCGCCAACCGTTTTGTGTTCGATTAAAAAAATAACAGAAATGAAAACGAAAAAAAGCACACGCAAGCTCGTAGTTTCTCTCTCCCTTAGTTCGAATTGCGAAAACGCGACCGGGGAACATTCGGGGCGGGGGAACCGCGGCGAGTACAATAAGACTGTTACAAAGAGAGGATTATGTATTATTACGTGTAATTTTATTTAACAGGATACATCAGCTAATTACCCGCGTAGCTTTATATTCGCCGTCTGTATCTTATCTTGCTCCCGTGGACGGAACAACGATTATTTAATTCCCTTCGAACGTTCACCTTGAGCAGAGAAAAAAGAAAAACCTTAGGACAGTAGAGGAGAGAAGTTTTTCGCGAGCCTAGTCGTCCGAGATATGTAATTGGCTGGTGTTCGTTTTACACGTGAGAGCATGATGCGTTTATACAGCACCCAGTACAAAAACTCATGTACGCACTTGTCTGCCTATCGATAAGGGGCGTAATTTCGTCGATTCTTCGATCTTCGCTGTATCTGAATTTCAAGGAATGTTCGAAGCGAAACCGATCCAGAGTTTTAAGGAGACGAAATAAGACCGTTCCTATCGAATTCGTCCAAGGCTACATGGTCGATTTATTAGGGTACCGTAAACACGTAACGCAACACGATCGGGGGATTATGATTGTTACGCCCCTGGATAAGTCGCGGTCCGATTTGCATGCGCGTTCGGAAACCTGTATACCCGTGGCGGTGTATATAGCCACTTAGGTAGAGCAACGAGGCTCGTTGCATCGGACAAGCGTGCATGGACACGCGAAACGAAACGGGCTCTCTGTGGTGAATACACGTTGTCCGGTGTCGCCGTGACGAAAAGAACGAGCAAAACTGGTGTCGATCGATACGGCTGTATAATGCTCTCGGGTTGTACTTCGATATGTAGGCTGTATTAGTCGGGAAAAGAAGCATTATTTATCCCTCCCCGTGTACACGGGGCACAATTACCCCTTGGCGGACCACGGATGGACGCGATCCCACGGATAATTTTCTGTTATCGAGCGTTCTAATTAACATATCGATTATTCCACGAGGAATATTTGATTTACGAGACCGAGCGTTTACGTTAACGAATCTATCGAGAAACACGCCGAACCGGAAACGCGTCCATCTATATCCTTCTTCTTCTCTCTCTCTCTCCTTGTACTTTCTTCTTCTTCATTTTTCCCGCTCCGTGGAACAGGCTCGAGAAACGCGTTCGATCCCTTAGAATAAAAGAATTCGAGGTCTACGGTCGGTTCCGTTCTTGATTCGCTTATTATTAATATTGCGAGCATAGTTAGTAGAATTAACGACTGTAGCAAACGGTATCGAATCGAATAATTACGCTTGTCTATGTGTAGAGAGTATAGAGAAAAAAAAAAAAGAGAGTCACTGGTATACTGTATACGTAACAAAGGCGAATTTTGATTTTTTCGACGTGTCCGCTTGTGATATCGATATGTAGAGAAGAGGGTCCTTCGATGTGTTATTAATTCAATTAATTCGTAGTATAAGGCCTTTGTAAACGGTGTAACGAGCGGCGTCGATTAAGTTTAAGTAGGTAACGTTTCTGAAAAGAAGAAAAAAGAAAGAGAACGATTCAATGGTAACCTGATGGAAATTGCGTGGGCAATCAATTCTCAGTGTCAATTAAATCGCATTCCGGTTTGCCTTCTCGATACACCCAAGGAAGTCTGCGACTCACCATATTCACCGACCCGCTTTTGTGTCCCTCGAGAAGCTGTTCCGAGTTTCTGTTGCAATTTTATAATTCGTTTCAATAAACTTTGCGTTTTTCTTCCTGTATCGTTTATTTTGTCAATACTTTGTCATATCCAATCGCAGCCTCTATGGCCCAACAGGTAAGTGTCTCGAATTATTCCCGAAGTTATTCCTTTAGACGAAGCGCACAAATTTTTCCATTTTTTTCAATCCTTTTTCTGTCCCTTCACGTTTATTTAGATCTTTTATTTCATAGCTATCAACCACCATGCATGCGCAGGAAAGTTCCCCGAGCCTAATCGCTGTCATCAATTTTAATCGATCTGAACGCATCTAATTACACGGCTGAAACGTCCGGGCAATCGCTTTTCTATCCGATCGGAGGAGAATAAAAAAGGAGAGGAAAAAGTGAAGCAAGAACGTCAGCCTCTGTTACGGTAGATGTGTGTAGCTACAATTGTACCGTATACACCGTTTATTCATTCGAGTATTAATATTTATAGCTGTGACGCACACCATGAATGGTAAATGTACGTGTCTCGGCGAAGGGCATCCCCCTACAATGTGTTATTTAAATGGCAGGCAAGTGGTGACTTGTGTAGCGAAGTATAGGACATTGAGAAACTGTTTTAAAGAACCTTTGGAGAGAGGGAGAGTATGCGTTTCGAAGAGATACAACCGTGTACATATTTACACGACCATTACCTTCTTTTTCTCCCCCGTCACTTAGAATTATCACTGTGCACGAAATCGAAATGAACTCTGGTAAGAAAAAGGCGGGAAGAAGTGGATGGACAGGGTTAGAGTAGTTCGACTTGGTTTTTTTCGAAAGACTGCTCTTTATATTTCCTTTTAGTACGTTCTCAGATATGTACATATATAATTTTTTACGCGATTACTGGAAATATAGATATCACTTATGAAAGTAGGAGAAAGATCGTAGAGATCTCTCTGCTCTGCGATTATTTTTCTGTTTTTTGAAATAAGAAAGTTGACTTTGGGTCTACTTTTTGGTCACCTTTTGCGTGAATAAGAAAGTCTGTGTTTTGGATCGAACGTGTGATCGTGAATGATCGAGGCGCTCGTGGGGCAATTTGCTCGCGCGTGAAAATTGAGACTGTTCGCTCAACCCTGAGTTTTATTACTGTGTTTGACCGGTGTTCTTACGAGTTCTGAATGTCTTCTGCGAGATCGACGCGTGTGAGTTGAGATGATACGATCGTTCTGCTGTTTCTTGGCTGTGTTGTGAAATACAAAGCTTTTGGATGAGTGACGACTGACTGAATCGAGAGGAGTCTAAAATTTTGAATGGATGCGAACTGAAAGGATGTTGGAAAAAGCAGAAAAAAAGAAAAGAATGGTTTACAATTTTAACCGTCTATTTCTTTAAGCTTCGTAGGTCTTACGGTTCTAGTACACGACCGTACAGTCTGTTTACTGTAATATCACGATGCTCGAGACACTTTACAGTGCTCGTTAGCTAACGTGAGCTCGTCAAACACTGTGATACAATCGTAGTTTCTTGCAGGAGTGAAGTACAACGAAGTATAGTTAACGCTGAAGTATCGATGTAAGGAAACTCGCTAAATCGAAGCGCAGTTTCTGATCGTGAATATGTACTCTATGGTATTCTAGAGGATATTGTCTATGGTACGAGAAGTTTTCACAAATTTCACCTTTCACTTCTGAATGCCGCGTCCAAATGGAGAATAAAGGAACCGTTTTCGCGTGATCGATCCTGTTTTAAATCCTTGCTCTCCCATTCGAGAAAATAACGCCAATTATATTTGATACAATAACAAAAGCTTGTTATTGAGATATACTTCAGAGGGATAATTTTGTGAAAACTTCTTACTCCGTTCGGAAGGTTTTCATCCTGTCTCTGTCATAGAAGTGTATGAGGGAAAACATGGAGAGTATAGACTGATACGGGAAGATTCGATGTTCTACACCATACATGGATGTTATGTGTTTTAAACGTGGATGTAATTTCGGATTTATTATTCCTAATACAGTATATTCTCCACAAGTGTCAGACCGCAAAGAAGCTAAACCTGGCACTCATGGAGTCAGGGACTACGTTTTCGAGCCTCGCGCGCGCCTTTGTAGTTTGCCGAACGTAGACAAGGATAGCGAATAAAAGATAAGCAGGAAACGTGAGTCGAGGCAACCAAGCGATTTAAATACCAACTTTTTTAATTTTACGTCTTTTTATCCCGAAATTTTTCTTCAAACACGACATAATTTGAACAACATTTACTTATTAACACGTTCACTGTCGCGCCAGATTTACAGGTTGCTGTCAGGCGGCCACAAGAAAATACATTTTAAGCATAGGATTATAGGATTATGCTTTATAATTTTTTTTTTCAATTGAAAATAATGTCTAGCTAGCTATGACGTTCAAAATTTTTAGTTGACAACATCTATTGTAATTATTGTAAACATTTGAGGCACTCCAGTCACTGATGACCACCATGGCCATATCGAGGAAACAATCTAACGTTAAAACCTATTGAGTGATTAATTTAATTTCATAATATATCGCTTTGAATAAATTACCAAAACAAATTGCTAAGAAATTACATTAAATACCAGTACACATTATCCGTCGAATGTAGAGGAAGAACCACCGTTTGGTTGCCAATTGTTTATCACATAGAGTCGGCCTACCTCCACGTAAAAAAAAAAAATGTAGGGTCGATTCCACAAGTGACAGTAAAATG